ATCCGGTGTGGGCACCGAGTGCAGCGAGCCGGAGCACGAGCTCGACCCTGACAGTGATCTCCTGCAGCAGTTTGTCCAGCTGTCTGAATCGATTCACCAAATCGAACTCCAGCACCATTCCGGCTGCAGTCGCCTCTTCAGAGCCATCAATTTAGATCGCGATCTGGAGGAGCCTGGCTTAAAGCTTTGCCTTGAGTCTGCGGATTGTATAGAGAGCGACAGTCGCCAGCTGGATGCATCCGATTTCATCAGCCTCAAGGGTTCCTTCAAGCGCCACAGGTTCCAGATCAGGCGATTAACCCAGGAACAGGTTGAATTTAAAGAGGAGGAGCGACTCCGCTGTGTGATTTCCCAATTGGAGCAGGAAGTGAAGGAGAAAAATACGCTTATAGGTGACGCTGAAGCAACTATCAATGAGTTGCGCGAACAGATAATCAGCCTGGAATCTGCATTTGTGGAGAAGAGTAGCCTAGAGAACATGGAACTGGAAAAGCAAAATGCGCGGGATCAGCCAGATAAAGTAACCACCGAAAGCTCCATGAGCGATAGCTTGCTCGAGTGTCCTCCTGACGAGGAAACCTTGACAGCTTGCCATGAATCTCCCGCCCAGAAGGATCACGAATCGCAGGAGGTAGTCACACTCAAGGAATCCCTGGCTGAGCTGAAAACCAAGGTGTGCCACCTGCAGGCCGAATTGGAGAGCCAGCTGAAGCAGATGCAGCTCAAGGACAGCAACATTGCCAAGTTGCAGACGGACATCGAGGAAATGGGCGAGCGTTGCTTGTCGATGGAGCTGAAGGTTGCTCAGCTGCAGGAGGATGCCCAGCAGAAGCAGGAACTGCTGGATCGCCAGGCGCAGAAGCTGTCCGATGACCTAAGCCTCATTGACCAGCTGCAGCAGAGGAATGCCAATCTGGCTGAGGAATCGCTGAAACTGGAGCGGTCGAAGCATGAGCAGACAATCGCCTCCTCCATTTATGAAAAACAAGTTGAGGAGCTCGAAGAATCATTGAAGAGGGCCAAAGAAAATCTCTGTATTCTGGAAAAACAAAAGACGGTTGAAATTAACGCCATTCAGCTGGAGTACATGGTAAAGATGGAGACGAGCGAGCACGAGAACCGCGCCAAGTTCCGCTCCTACAGCCACGAGTTGGAGGCGAGCAAGGAGCGCTATGAGAGCAGTGTGGCCACCCTAAGGGATCAGCTATCGCAGGCCGGGGAGGAGCTCTCCAGTGTAACGACTCGCTTTCAGGCGGAGTTGGAGGGCATTAGAGGTACTCTCCAGGAAAAGATTAACCACGCAGAGGAGGAGAGAAGCAAATTGAATGCCCAGCATCAGGCGGAGCTAGAGAAGATCAGAGAAATCCTGAAGGAAAAATTGGCCGAGGCCGAGGCGAAAGAGATCCGGATTGAAGCTGATCACAAGGCGGAGATAAGCCATGTGCGACTCACCCTGAAGGAGCAGTTGAGCCAAGCCGAGGAGGAGCGAGAAAAGGTCTCCTCAAAGCTTGAGGAGATGGAAATCACTCTGGAGGAGATGATCAGTCAGAGGAGAGCGATGGAAGACACAATAGCTGAGCTGGAAAAAACGAAAAACGATCGGGAATTGGCCTTGGATAATCTAAAAACTGAGAAAACCAAACTACAGCTTCTGTACGACAAAAGCCAAGAGCAATTGCAAAGGCAATTGCAATTGCACACTCGGGACCACAATGGCACAGGGGATGGAGAACAAGGTGAACAACTCGACAAGATCAATGACATACAGGATCAGCAGGTTGTGGACCTGGAGAAACTGGGACGGGAGAAGATGACCCTGCAGTCGGAGATTCAGATTCAAAAGCAGAAAATTCAGGAACTTGAATCGCACACGGATGTGCTGGTGTTGGACAAGTGTGATTTGATGGCAAAGCTAGAGACGTTCACGGCCAAGATTAGTGATCTCGAGGAAGCACTGCACGGTGCCAAGCTCAAACTTCTGGCCCAGGATGACCTGGTGTCCCAGCACGATAGGCTGAAAATTTGTCTATCCGAAGCGAATGAGTTGTCGTGCAATTTGCAAAAGAAAGTGGAGCGACTGCATGCGGATCTCTTAGCTTCGGAGGAGGGAATCTCCAGTCGTGATGTTGAATTGGACCAGCTTCGCACGGAACTGAAGAGCGCTGTGGATGCAAAAACCACTGCTTGCACGGAGCAACTAATTCTGGTGGCGCAGGTCAAAAAAGTCGAGGAGCGGATGTCAGTCCAAACAGAGGAGTTCAAACGCGAGGTGGCCGAGCTCAAGGGATCAATGAACGAGCTGCAGCTGAAGCATAAATCCTTGCAAGAAACGAAAGATAACCTTGAGGCTGGCAACGAGGAGCTTAAGCTGAAGCTGAGCAGATCCCACGATCTGCAGAACATGCTGGCTGAGGAGCAAGCCCTAACTGCCTCCTTGAGGGAAAGTCTGGACAAACTGGAACAATCGAAGGCATGCCTCGCAGAGGAAATGCAAACCATGGAAGCGGAATTCGCTCAGAGATCAACGGAGCTGAGTCGCAAATTGGAAATGGGCCGCATCGCAACCGGGGAATTGTCCAAGGAGTGCGAGAATCTCCGCTCCGATCTGGTGAGCTTAATATTCATAACCTCCTGTCTTTATTATTCTATGAAAATTTGTTTTTTCAGGAAACCAAAACTAAGAATTTCCAGAGAGAAAACAAAAACTTGGAGTCAATAATATTCGGTCTGCAAAAGGACAAACAACAGCTGGATGAAGAGATGGTCATTCTTAAAGAGAAGGAGGAAGCCCATAAGACAGCACTGGCGTCTCTCCAGGAAGCCTCGTCTAAGCACCAATTGGTCATGGAAATGGCCAACAATAAAAACCTTGAAATGGCACAAAAAGTTAACGATCTCTTGAATAAATGCGAAGGTCTTCGTTTCGATCTCAAGGAGAAAGATGAAGCCAATGCTGGACTGAGGACTCAGTTAATATCCAACGAAGAAGCCCTCGCATCTCTGGAAGAATCCTCGATTAAGAACAAATTAGCCATGGAATCGGCAAATAACAAATGCCTCGAAATGGAGCAGAGGATTGACGATCTCTCAAAGGAATGCGAACAGCTGCGATCCGATTTGGTAATAATTAAGAGTTCCTTATTGTCTACAAGGTTTTTCATTGAATCATTCTTTAGCAATTCAAAGAGTCGTGTTTCCTAAAGGAAAAGGATCAGTTGGACGGCACCATTTCAAATTTATTGGAAGACAAGCTCAGCCTGGAGAAACAATTGTGTTCGCTTAATGAGAAACTCACAATGAAATGCGAAAAACTACGAAAAACTTTGGTAATATTAAATAAGATACCCTATTTGAACGTTCATTGAGTGTTTTTCTTTTTAGAAATCCAATCTAAAAACATACAAACATCAATTTGAGGAAAAGCTTTCCATTCTTAAAGAGAAGGATGAAGACAATGCTCGACTTAAGATGCAGTTGACATCCCTTCACGAGTCCTCGAGTGAGCACGAATTAGCCATGAAAGCGGCCAATAACAAAAGCCTTGAATTGGAACACAAGATTGTTGAGCTCACAAAAGAATCTGAGATGTTACGATCAACTCTGGTAATATAATCGTGATGTTGGTAGCTTACTGAATTTATATCCCATTTTTTTTTGGTTCTAGAAATCCAGGGAAAGCAATTTCCGTACCGAAAAGGAGCGCATGGACGGCACCATCCGCAGTCTATTGGAGGACAAGCGCAATCTGGAGGAAAAGCTGTGCTCGCTCAGCGAGATCATGTCTAAGCTTGAGTTGGAATTGGCCGCTTTTCAACCACCTAAATCTTGTGGGTCCTGTGAATCGAATATCACCAACGGAAATACGACTGCGAAGAAGACTTTGGATCGCAACGCTACTCCCAGTGTGGCAATGGTACTTATTTGTACACAGAAAGCAAATAACTCTCTTAAAAATAATTTTTATTTTAAAGAAACCCTCAATGCTGATTGAGTCGACGGAGCGGAAAAATCGAAGGATCACGGCATACGATGAACGCCGCAGGCAGTCTAACTGGAACGACTTTCAGGATTGCGCCAACACCACAAATTCCTCGGGTGAGAGAAATTTAGTTCGCTACGAGGTGTTCATTTTCTAACATTATGGTTTCCACTACAGAAAGCAATTGCGATTGTACGGAGCCAAACTGCAAACACAGACTGAATTCGAACTGGAGGCAATCTTAGAAAAGACAAGCTTTAATTTAAACATGCTGAACAACAAAAGATCAGCAACACTTTCAATATTAGTTTTCTCACAAATGGTGGGTCTACCTTTAAAAATATTAATTTTTTTCTCAAATCTTAACAAATGTTTCCGTTTCCACTCAGAAATCGCCACTATGCGCTAAAAAAAAACAAATACACTAAAAAGAGGGTCGTCGAGACGCAACCAAATAAGTCACGTTGGATGTAATTCAAGTATTAAGTTGTCTTGTTAAGTGTTATCTTGTCAAGGTTGAAGTTTAAATTTATAATTCTTTTTTCTGTTTATGTTCATTCTTAAATGTTAAGTTTCTGTCCATTAGTCACTATTAAAAAGTCTCTGAACAAAAGTGATAAGCAAATTGAATTGTATTTGTAATTAGTTGTATATACTAATCCGAAAAATGTTATTACTTGAAAGACTTAAACGGCAGTCTATATTCTATAAGGTATCGTAGTTAAAAGAATTATTAATTTATTTTATTTATAAATCATTTAATAAAATACGCGTTTTTTTTTCCAAGTTTTTGTTTTGTTCTTAGGCTGAAGATTGGTTTATAAAACAGTTAAAAATGATAAGCGATTTATTTTCGGTTTCGTTTTCAGTTTGAATTTCTGGCTCAAAATGTCTGTCAATCGACTAGTCGATATGTGCCAACTTAAACTTGCAGTGTTGAGCAGACTTTTTCGATAGCCAAAACGATATTTATCGAGTCGCTCGCTTGAGTGTTGGCCAACGGCGGCGACCAGCTATGCGGCAGTGTTGGAAAGGGCTGCAGACGCTTACGCTGAGGCAAAACAGAAAATTACGACAAAAAAGCAGAGCCGCGCAAATAAAAGGCCATGAACTCGGCAACCAAGGTAGGTGCCAGCTGCTCCGGCCGGTCCGCCGTCGACCACGCCCCCCGGCATACCGCCGCCTGCGCCCCTGGGCGCTGCAGCAGCCACAACAAAAAAAGCGGCGCGGGAGAGAGTCGAGAGTCGTTCGTTCGCTCGTTCGCTCGTTTGTTTGTCTCACTCCTGCGAGTGGGAAATTTGTTGTTCCACCTTCTTGTGGGCGGCGGACGGTGGGCGGGTGGTGGCGGTGCGTTTGTTTTGAATTTGCACGCGGTAACAACAAACACAAACTGAACCGAACCGAACTCCCGTCTCCGGATGCAAATCCGGTTGCACTTGCAGGTGGGCGAGATATTCACGGCCGCCGGACAGGCGTTCAGCAGACTGGGCGATCTCACCATGCAGCTGCATCCGAACGCGGAGTCGCCATCCGGGTAAGTTGATCCGGTCCGGAGATTGGGATGACCGACCCTAATGTGTCTTGTGTTCCCTCGCCACGGCTGCTGCAGGAAGTGGACGGACGAGGAGATCGACATGCTGCACTCGTCCATCATGCGCTTCTCCGACGACCTGACCAAGATCAGCCTGAGCATCAAGAACCGCACCGTGTAAGTGACCCGGTGATCCTGTGATCCTGGCGAGGGAACATTCAGCTGGCTACCGTGCTAATCCCCCGCTACTCTTGCCCATTGCAGCTCCCAGATCCGCCAGGCGCTGAAGAAGAAGGCCTTCGAGGACGCCGGCATTCCCGCCAAGCAAGTGCCCGTCCAGCAGGTGCAGCACGTCCTCCAGACGCTGCCACCGCAGCAGTCGCAGTCGCAGCTTCAGCCGCAGCCACAGCAATCCCTTCAGCAGACGCCTCCTCAAGTATTCAAAACACAGCCCATCGTGCAGCATGTGCAGCTGGTGGCGCAGCCCAAGCAGATCATCCTGCATCCACAGACCACCACAACGACGGGCACGACGGTGACCGTGAAGCAGTACCAGCAGATGCAGAAAGCGCTTGCGGCGGCCCAGGCAGCTGCCGCAACGGCGGCGGCGTCGGCGTCGTCCAACAACACGCCCACCATCACGGAGAACATCATCATCCAGCAGCCCACGTCCACGTCGGCGACGGCGGTGCAACAGCCCCTCGTGGTGTCCACCTGCTCGTCGGCGCAGATCGTGATGCCCGTGGTGGTGCCGGCCGTGTCCACAGTGCTCTCGCCCACTGTGGTGATTGCCGACGATGTGGTCAGCACTACCTCCACTCCGCCAGCAACGGCGTCGGGGGCGGGGGCGGGGGCAGGAGGTGCCACAGCAGCAGCAGCAGCAGGAGGAGCGCCAGCAGGGTCGGCAGCGGGCCTAAAGTGCGGACCAGACGTGTCCATGACCCTCAACCGCATCAATGTGCAGGAGAACGAGGTGGACGTGGAGGAGTGCCTGCCCGCGGAGGTGGTCAAGCTGGATTTCGTCAGCGAGGAGGTGGCCGGATGAGATCGAAGCCCCCAGAACGGGCTGGACTTCTACTATTAGATCTCCGGCCGCCTAACGAATCACGTAACGTAACTTGGAACAGAATCGCTACAAATCTAGATCGAGAACTCTTTAACAAAACGGCTGAGATGCCGCCCTAGCCCTAAGCCTAAACTGTTAAGTGTTGTCATATTTGATATACCTTGAAATCACCTTGTTCCCGGCCCCGAAAGACAATTGGATGGATGATGGATTGTGCGATGTGCAGCAGGATGAGGAGGAGGAGAAGGAGGTGTCTGTGGATCGCCAGCCACAGAGCGTAGATATTAATTGCGGAGCGTAGATGCTGCGAATAGACTTAAATTTACGCAAGACACAATAGTGCAAAGTACATAACGACGATCGTGTAAGCTGAGAGTGAATAAACGAGCATTATTTTAAGCTCCGCTGATCTCGGGGATTTTATTGGAGCTAAGCAGCATTAATAGATTGTCCTTTTCAAAACAACAGTAATGGTTCTTATAAGTAAGACTTGATAGTTTAGGGATGTGATTTTATTAAACTCCTTTTAGTTGGGTAAATTTAATTATATTTAAGAAAAGAACCATCAATCATTCACTAAAATTCATTGCGGTATTAAGGAAGATAATTTCTATAATTCATTTTCAAATATAACTTGTACAATAAATATGAAATCCCTATTTTGAATGTGTAATGCAAAGAAAAACAAGCAGTATGTGCAGTTTCCATATTTAATTAATTTTATTCAGCTTAGACTTGCTTTATAAATTTGTTAAGGTTGTATGGAAATTCAGTCAGCTTGAGGAACATACTTTTAAAACCTTTTTGTTAACTCATTCATATACTTTTCAAATGGAAAGTTAAGTTGAATAAGGATTAAGGATGTATATAGTACATTTATATAACTATTTATTTATTATTATACTAACGCTACAAGTATAATAGTTTGTAGCGTCAGAATATTAATAAATAAATAAATTTAAATGTTTATAAAATTATTGAGAACCAAATAATGTCATTTCGAAGTTTACAAAATTAATTTGATAAATTTAATTTGAAATCCCTTTTTTTAACCGCCCATCTCAAAATTGCGTTAATAGCAGTTTGTCATTCACACGTCGGAGCAAAAACCCGTATATTCCGAGCCGTGCAAAAAGCAAGAAGAAGAGCCAGCTAGTAAAGATACGGATACATCAACAACAACAGTTGCAAACCAAATCCATTGTTTATTGTTAATCGCAAAATGAGGCTTCAACTGAGGATCCTTCTTGCGATTTTAGCATCCTGTTCATGGATTTCCGGCTCGCTGGCCTACAAACCGGTGGTTATCCTCCACGGCATCCTCTCCGGTGCCGAATCCATGTCGTTTTTGGTCCGGGAAATCGAAGAGGTTTGTTATTGGACTCCCCTTGTTTTTGTTTACTAGCGAAAACAATAGTGACAAGGTCAAATTCGAGGTAAACAGCGCAATAGCTTCGATAACGTGTTGTTTTCCGTTCGCAGATTCATCCTGGAACCATTGTGTATAACTGCGATAAGTTCAGCGGATGGTACAGTTTGGAGAATGCCTGGCGACAGGTCGACCAAGTCAGGGATTACCTCAACGAGGTGGGCAAACTTCATCCCGAGGGCATCATCGTGTTGGGTATGTCAAAGCCGCAAGACCCCTTTTAAACTTGTTTTATTTATGTTTTTAATGTAATAATGTGAATTTCAGGCTACTCCCAGGGAGGTCTTTTGGCCCGGGCTGCAATACAAAGTCTGCCTGATCACAATGTGAAGACCTTCATATCCCTATCTTCACCTCAGGCGGGGCAATACGGAAGTAAGTCCATGCCAGTGGCATTCAGATTCAAAACAATACCATAAGAAATATTTGAGAAATTGATATATACATTCATATATAAAACATTTGGATAAGACCATCCCGATATGATTTGCAATTTATTGGCTAGTGCCGGAGATAAAGCTTTTTATATTGCCCTTATCAGCCGAAAATTAATAACTAATAATACCAGAAAAAATTCTGAGGTAAATTTTAAATTATGTAACCCGCTTCGAAAACTGCAAAGTGGGGTTAGTTTTTTAGTTAAAATTTTCAAAGTACTAGTTTCAGAATTTCTTATAAAAAGATAAACACAGAGAACCAAAAAATGATACATCATACAAAGAGGAAAAAATTATCTTAAAAAACAAGAAAACGGAAAAATTCTCCGTAAATAAATGGGCTGAACTCATATTTCATTTAGTTATTCCTAAAATTAAAGTAATTTAGTTCTTTAAATGTTTTATTCTATAAAATGTATCATATAGGTGAGACATATAGAATTTTATAGAATTTCATATAGAATTTGTTTACAAGTTAAATAGAATTGCTAATATCTAGTCAAATATGGTATTTTAAATCATCATACTTCGAAATGATTCTGCAATATCCTCAAACCGAAATCCATAGAATTTAGGTTAGAGTTTGGTTGAATAAGATTAGGACGCCGGATTGATTGGTTTAATGAACAATGTTTCCTTTACTTTCTTTTTTTAAATATAGTATTTATTTTGCATAAATGTACTTTCAGCCAGCTTCTTGCACCTGATATTTCCCGATCTGGCGGCCAAGACGGCGTTCGAGTTGTTTTACTCGCGGGTGGGGCAGCACACCTCGGTGGGTGGCTACTGGAACGATCCGCAAAGGCAGGAGCTCTACCTGAAGTACAGTGAGTTCCTGCCGCTGATCAACAACGAGAAGGTGACCTCCAACTCCACATCGTTTAAGATGGGAATGGTGCGGCTCAATAGATTAGTGATGATCGGAGGACCCAACGACGATGTTATCACTCCCTGGCAATCCAGGTAATCTTATAGTTAACTCTTAACTTCGGAAAACAAAAATAACCCAAGGTTATTTCCTTTCAGCCATTTCAGTTACTACGACGAGAACATGGATGTGATCCCGTTCAACAAGCGAAAGATCTTCACAACCGACTCCATCGGCATTAAGACTCTTCAGGAGGCTGGCAAACTAACCATTGTGATCAAACCCCATGTCCATCATCTTGCCTGGCACACGCGTAGGGATGTCATCCACCAAGTTATAATGCCATATCTGGACTGAACTACAAATCGAAACTGCTGTGAAGCGACCAAAGCGCTGTGATCGAAAAGGCGGATTTTAGCTCGCTATCATCAATAAGCATTAATGTGAAGTTGCTACACGGGCCACACAATGATCTTTTATCGGTAATTTAGCTTTAGATTATTTACAATGACCTGCAATTCGCAGGAGAGATTTATACAAATTTATTAACAAAATATATATGGATAGGTAAATGAATATATAGTTATGGAAACACAAGAGTATGGGTATTATTGAGTACTGGAAATTTATTCAGAAAAATGTAACTTATGAAAATTGTTGAAAAAATATTGTAGGTTAAAGTTTAATTATTTGACAAAAAAGAAAACAATGTTTATTATGCCGAAGTGGGAAGCTGGGCTTTTCTCATTACATTTATAGATTGTTCCTATTTTAGTTTATGATTCGATTTTTAAAAATTAAAAATCTGTTGCAAAAATTTTAAAAAGTTACTACATCTCGGAATAATCTGTATTGTGTTCAAAAAGAAATGAGGCTATACATTTTCGGTTGCATTAGTTTTCTGATTTTATAATTGTATATAATTTTAAAAAGAACCGCCCTGTAGGGAGAATAATGATGGCGGGAAACATTTGGTTTCGTGATCTGGTAACACTATTGCATCTGGCGAAATTAAGCACAAATTTAGGACAGGTTTGTAGAGTCATCAAAGAATAAATCTCGGAGCGAAGCAAGATGCAAGCAACAAGATCCGATCCTGATGGCCATCGACAACCACCTGGTTTACGGTGAAGTAGCTATTAATATATCGGAAATAATTATATTTTGTAAATGAAATACTTTTAAAAAGCCCGCACAGAATAAGCATTTATTTGGGCTGGCAACATTTGCTTTTTGTGACCTGGTAACACTTTTCCATCTGGTGAAATTAGGCGCAATTTGAGGACGGATTGCGAACTGCAAATAGGAATTCTGCCAATGGAGGACACAACGGGAGCGGAGCAGGATGCTGACAACGTGATCCGCATCCTGGTGGCCACCGACAACCATCTGGGCTACGGCGAAAAGGATGCAGTGCGCGGCGAGGACAGTTTCACGGCCTTCGAGGAGATCTTGGAACTGGCGGTGTCCGAGGATGTGGACATGATTCTGCTGGGTGGCGATCTCTTCCACGATGCGGTGCCCAGCCAAAACTCCATGCACAAGTGAGTGGTGACTACCTCGCACCCTCCCAATCATTACATTTCACTCCACCAGATGCATTGAGCTCCTGCGACGGTACACCTTTGGCGATCGTCCCGTTTCTCTGGAGATCCTCAGCGACCAGGCGCAGAGTTTCCACAATGCCGTCAACCAGTCGGTGAACTACGAGGATCCCAATCTGAACATAGCCATTCCGGTCTTCTCCATTCACGGCAATCACGATGATCCCAGTGGCTTCGGTCGCTTGAGCTCCCTGGATCTGCTGAGCACCTCGGGCCTGGTCAACTACTTTGGCCGCTGGACGGACCTCAGCCAGGTGGAGATCAGCCCCATCCTGTTGCGTAAGGGCGAGAGCCAGTTGGCCCTGTACGGACTGAGCCACATCCACGATGCGCGGCTGGCCAGGCTCATCAAGGATTTCAAGGTCAAGTTCAACTGCCCCGACTCGGCGAAGGACTCGGATGAGGAGTGGTTCCACCTGCTGGTGGTGCATCAGAACCGAGCCGATCGCGGCCCCAAAAACTATCTGCCCGAGGAGCTGCTGCCGGACTTCCTTCACCTGGTGATCTGGGGCCATGAGCACGACTGCCGCATCGAGCCGGAGATGAATGCCAGGAAGGGTTTCTATGTCTCCCAGCCGGGCTCCTCGGTGCCCACCTCCTTGTCGGAGGGCGAGGCCAAGAAGAAGCACGTCGGCCTCCTCGAGATCTACAAGGGAAAGTTCAAGCTGAAGGAGCTGCCCCTGCAGACCGTGCGTCCCTTCGTCTTCGAATCCGTCTCACTGCCCGATCGGGCCGAGGAGTTGGGTCTAGACGAGGGCGATGCCTCCACCAAGGTCTTCAAGTTCGCCAAGGAACGGGTGGAGGCCATGCTGGAGAAGGCGGCGGCCCAGCAGACCGGCCATCCCAAGCAGCCCACGCTGCCACTTATTCGACTGCGCCTTTCATACTCGGACGAGTCCTGCATGTTCAACGCCATTCGGTTCGGCCAGATGTTCAGCACGCAAGTGGCCAATGTCCAGGATGTGGTGCAGTTCAGCAAGCTGATCAAGCGCACCAAGACGGAGACCATCCACCTGGACAAGGAGGCCATGCGACGTGCACTGGTAAGGATGGCATAAACATGAAACCATAAACGTGGGGACTTTTTGAAAATATGAGATGGGTTCAAAAATCGGTAGAGATATACATTTCTATACCCTTGCAGATTTTTATGATTTCAGTTTGTAACGCAGTGTAGAAAACTTTGTTGCCCCTATAAAGTTTATCTATTCTTGATCAGCTTTAGTAGTAAAGTAGGTTTAGATCAATGATCTATAAAAACTAGACTTCCATTTTTAAATTTACTTGGATGAAACTTTGAGAAAAGGCTTCTTTCTTTGCAGGATTTATAAAGTTTTTTTTTTTTAAATTTATATGTAAATACTTTGAGTAATAGTTCACTATTTAAGAGTTACGATTTAAAATTTTATAAAAATCGGACAGCGATATAATTAAAATTATATATATTAAAATATGAAATATAGATTTAATTTTGGGCGAAACAAACAAAACAATGAATTAAATCAATACAAAGAATTTATTCATAATATATATTCTTATAGATTAAGATGTTTCTGACCTATATACCATATATTATTTCCCTTTCATGCCTTACTCAACATTATTTATGCTAAAAACCTGTATTTCAGGAGGCGGATAATGCCACTCGCGTGGAGGAGCTGGTGGATCGCTACTTCGACGGTGCCAATAAACCCCTAAGGTTATTCCACTCCAAGGCTTTGGCAGAGATGACCTATCGACTGGTGGAGCGAGCGGATGCTGATGCAGCGGAAAATATTGTGAAGTGAGTCGGCACCCAAAAAACCATACGAATCTATCTAAACGCAATTTTCACCAGGTTCTACAAGGAAAAGGCAGTGGATCATCTAATGGAAACCATGCCGAACGAAGAGAGCATCGACAACGAGTTGATGAGTTTCAGGACGCGCCACAATCACGAGAGTCTGCTCAAAATGCTCGATAGTCAGGGCCTGAAAGTGAAACGGGAAGAAAGGTCCTCCACATCTGTCTTGGGCAGCGAAGCAAATGGCACCACGGCTCCCACGACGGGACGAGGGCGTGGCCGTGGTCGTGCCACTGGCAGAGGTCGTGCTGCAGCCTCAGGTGCCACACGTGGCAAGGCCCAGCTGGAAGTGACCGTCAATAGTTCGGTAGGCAGTAATAAGCTATATAGAAATATAAACAATAATAATATGTTCACCATTTTTCCGAATCATTTACAGCGCACCTCGAGCAGACAACAAACCCTTTTGAGTAGCCTCAAAGGCACTCGTAATACCGCCAGCTATGTTATATCGGATGATTCCGATTAGTTTACATTCCAGAGCCCCATTAATGTTGCATACCTCTGAGCGGAATAAACAAGAGCTTTCTTTTTATATAACCTCTAAGAGTACATTTCAATATCGTCAACTGCATAATAGATTAGCCTACAACTTAGGAGCTACGTTAAGGTGAACGAACAGCTGCCGTCGGGCTCCAATTGGCCACGACTGGATGTGGATCGGTTCTTTGGTAGCCTAGCTGCTTCAGGACTCCGCCGCTCGAGGGCGGAGATTTCTCCAGACACCGACTCGTCGTCACACACGCGTTACTGCTGGTGGTACTCGTAGTAGTAGCGATACGGATCCACCGAAGAGCTGCCACCGGCGGTGGTCACGCCCACGCCAGCGGCTCCAGCCCCTGCGCTCGTCTTGGACACCGGCCGGATCACGTAAGTGTTGCGCCTGCAGGCAGAAAATATGAAAAGTTAGCAAATACATCTAGAAATACTAGTTAACAGTTCGGCAAAATAATCTTTAATTTAAAATCAAATATTTTAATACCAGCGAAATTAAGAAAAAATATTTTTATTCTTGTTTTGCTAGAATCCTAAAAATTTCTAAACTAAAGCCTCTGATATCCGGTTATGGTAGCATAAAAATGGTTTACTTAAATATATGGGCTCTAGTTTTTGGCAAAATATCTAAATTGGTTATAAAATAAATTGAAGATTGTATAATATTTATATGTCAACTTTAACTTGAAATCTTTATAAATGGTATTCTTGGAGATAATTAAAAATTATTTTATAAATTACTCAAAGACCAACCTAATCTAACCAAACAAATTTAGAACTAAAAACTGGAAAACTAATTAGAATATTCTTTAAAGCAGAAAATAGTCCTACAAGTTATGTTTTTTTTTACATATTTATGGTAGCTTAATATTATATAAATGGATATTAAATCAACATTTTAGCATATTTCGTGATTACTCCTTTTCAGGCAAATATCCAAATAATATTAGTACATATAATATAAGAAGAGGCCTTTATGTTGACTAGAGACTATCTGAGGTTCACAATAGTAGTGCTTACGTTTTCAAAATAATTTGGCTATCGACGACAAATTTCAAACTAAAAACTTTCTCCCACATCTAAAATTCAGCCTTTTTTTAGTCTGCTGCTCGGGAAATTGTTGTTTCCAAAAACATTTTTATGCTTTTTTGAATTTTTTAACATGTAGATACATATTTTAAAATTTGTTTCTATTGCCCTGAATATTTTCCAATAAGTCATGATTTGGGAGACTCACCTGTTGTGTTCACCGGCGTGCACCTGGAAGCTGGTCTCCTCGCTGTGGTCGTGCGAGAAGAGTTTCTTCAGCGCGATGATCCCGGCGATGGTCAGGGCCACCTTGCTGATGACCAGCGCCTTGCCGGCGATCGCGGCCAGAGCCTTGAGGCCCAGGGGACCAGCGATGCCCATGGCGGTGAGCAGGGCGGCCACCACGTACTTGATGTGGCCTCCGTCCTTGTGCTTCTTCTTCTTCTTGTGCCCGTGGCCACGGCCTACGCTCTCCTGCCCGCCATCCATGTCGATCTTTAGTGTGTGCGTCCGCATCAGCTTGTCCACCTTGGAGAGCAGGGCTCGGTCGATGGGCGTCAGGCTGCCAAACTGGCGGACGTCCGTCAAGGAGCCCAGTATGCTCTCCGATTCGCTCTGGTTCTGCTTCTCTAGCACCAGTCCGTCCACGATCTTGATGGAGTCCTGGTCCAGGGCACGATTGAGCGCATGGAGGGCCTTCTGCTTGAGGCAACCAATGAAGTCGTTCTTGTCCTGGCACTCATCGTACACCCGCCGCACGAGTGCCATCTCCGGACCCAGGCCCAGACCCAGACCCAATCCCCAGGCGGAGCTCCAATCACTGGGACCGACGGCGGTGGTGGGCGATGGGTGATCCACCGTGCTGTGCCGCCTCCTCCTTGGAGCCACTGCCGTGGACACGGACGCTACGAACGCCAGGAGCAGCAGCCACTCGAGACGCTTCATGCTGGTGGATATCCTTGCTATGCGGGTGCGGCTATCCAGGCTCCGAAACTTTTGATGTCTAATATCCACGATCCACGTCCACTCGCCGGCAATCTGGGGATGCAACTGCAGCGAAATCGCTGGGCGGCCAGAGCTTTTATAAATTGCGATCGGTGATGGGGACGCACTCAGACGGAAAGAACTGGCGTGTTCGATGGGACGCAGACGGATCTTGGACCTGCAAGTGCAGGTGGAGATGAAGATGGAGTTGGAGGTGGATGTGGAGATGGAGAAGCAGCAGTTGCTTGGAGGGCAATTAGCACTGGCCATATTTAGTTATGCCGGCTACAGGCGCTGACATGTTTTCGTTACTCAACCACGGATGGTTGCCTATCCATGTCCATGTCCCGCGATCCACGGGGTGTTACCTGCCCGAAAGTGCCACTTTTCGATTTCTATGCTCTTAAAGGTATGTGTCTGATAGAGATTAAACTTGGTTTAGAGGGCTGAAGATTACGAATAAGTCTGGGGTTATTTTTTAATCAAGCGGACCTTAAGGGTGTGGTCTTGTGAGTCGAAAAAAACCCACATTTCCGATGTTTTTTAACCCTTTCAGTACCAACGTTGCTTGTATATTTATAAAAATATATATTTAAAATTAAATTAACATTTTAATGATTTAACAAATCTACCACATACCCTAACCGATGGACGTGGCACTTTCCGATTTTGTCCAAAATGTTCTTAATTTTTTACCGTCATAAAATAAAATATCAGGCTACGGAAAAAATGTTGGTTCTGAAAGAGCTAAGAAAATTGAAAAAAAACATTCATTAATTTAAACAACATTATCCGTTACTATTTATATATTTTCTTTTAAAGATTTTTTAAAATCTTTTAAGTACAGTTTTGAGGTTGTAAGAAATATAAACCCTGAGGGACTGACAAGTTCAATGGATAAATTATTTATTTATTAAAAACATACAATAAGCTAAGTCTATCGGGAAATCAACTTTAGATATAGATAGTTTCTAGCGAAAAAAATAATACTATAGTCAAACCAGTTCCCAATTTAAAAAAGGAAATGCATATTTATAAGGTCCTTTAATAATATCTTGAATAATTTATTAATAGCACTTCTTTGTGTCATAGTTCGGATAACCACTGTAGGTTCTCTTCCATAAGTCGAGCACTAGAACGCCAGAACTGCCCAAAAGCAATGAATAAAAGTCGAGTAAATCAGTTCTCGAAAAGAGAGTAGGCAGTCTCTACTGGAGAAATATGGTTAATAAGATCCGAAAGAACAGCAACTAGCAGCGGACGGGTGTTTGGTGTTTGTACTCCAGCTGTTCCCCGGTGGCAACAACCGATCCCCACACCATATCTTGGTTATAACTAATAACATTTAACGATGCGTGCAGTGGAGTGATTAAGCCCCGCCAACAGCTACTGCCACTTGGATTTGGACTTCAAATCGGTTCATATCGCATGTGTTCGAATGGCTGTAGCCCGCAAATTGGTTATCATAAATTGCAACTGCTTTGCCTCAAGTCGGAGCAGGGGATTCCCCGTCGATGCCGTGCGGTGATCGCTGCACATTTGGCTCACTGGCCCACTGGGTGAAACTGAGTTGGGTACAGTTAACAAATTTTCTTTTCTGCGCACCAACTGTGAAAATCAACAGCTCCCATTTCCCATCCCCCAGTAAACATTCGCCAGCCTTGCGATTCGCTTTTGAAGATCAGATCAGATCAGCGAAAATGGTGACATTTAATTCGCAGTGAAAAGTGACAAAAGTTAGACATTCTGTTTTTCACCCAGATAACTCTAATTGCTCTCATTAGGCAATATGGCGCCAATAATTTGCACGCTTTAAAACTAACAAAATAATTTAGATGGAGATAAAAAAATCTCCAAAAGCTTGCTAGTTCCTCATCCCTTTGCCATTAATTTAGTTCAGATCAAAAGAAATTCTTTTTCTCATTTTTTAAGATAAAAATATGTTGGCAATTGAAAAATAACTTTCGGTTTTGGAAGCCAAATCACATGTTTGTACCTCGCGGATTTCTTTTAAAAATTAACGAAATTATATAGGCTTACGTTTTTTATTGTTTGTCTTAACAAATAAATAGAATATATAATAAAAGCCCTGTGCCATTTTGTTTGTTGGAGTTTGTTTTATAGTTCGACCCTTTGTTGTCTTATTTACCTTAAAGTTAAAAAATTGTACACTATAATGTTGTATTGTCCAGCACAGAGCATATATACATATTAGTTTATATTAAGTTATACTAAATCTAAAAAGCAACCTAATTGAATGAAGTATTGTATATAATGCATCCTATCCTATTAAATTTATTTTATTCGCATTAAAGTAAGGCGAATTGTTTCTACCAAAATGATATTGCTCCTAATGTAAACATAATGAGTATGTATATACATATATATATATATATATAAATCTAGACGGACATATGAGTGCCACGCACACGAATCCAAGTCAGCTGCTCAAGAGGGCGTAAATAATTTAATACATCAAGAAAATTGGAAATGAAAGTTTCTTTGTTTTGGTTTGGCGTGGCCGCAGCTAACTTTTAGTTTCGATGCTCGCAGATAACACTGAGTCCTGCCGAAAAAGGACAAGCGGACGGACAGGCAAACGGACGAACAGACAGACGGACAATTATGCGATTTATTTGCACATTTCGGCAGACCAACTGGGATTCCTGGGGAGGATGGGAGCTTCGGGAGTCGGACTCTTATCGTCAATAATCATCATATGCTCAAATTTTTGGTCGCTTAATTGGAAAATTGTTGTTGTTCTTGCGATACGCCTGAGCGATTGGGTGATTGGATAGCTGGATAGCTGGATGGCTGGATGGCTCGATGGCCAGGATCTGGATGGATGGTCAAATGGATGATTGGTTTGGCTGCCGAGTGCCGTTTGATTGATGGCCTCCACATTGTTTTGCGGCCTTGTTGTGATAATATTTGCTGAGCGCCAGTTTGATTGGCATTTTGGCCAAGTGCCTTGTGGTTGGTTTGAGTCTAAGTCGCATTTGTATTTGTACTATCACTTATTACTCATAAAA